GATAAGACTTCGAAATACGAGAAGAAAAAAAAAGTAAAATATACTAATAACAATCCTTATCCAAACATGACGCCACGTCGTCTCCATCTCAAAACCTCTTCAATAAACCCTTATTATTACAATAAATCCGAAAATGGCCAATATAAATAACCCAACCAAATCATTACCCCAACCCCATTTTATTTTCACTGCAAATTTCAAGAAATCAATTTAAAAAGAAAAGAAAAGAAAAAAAAAATGCTGGCTGTATTTCACAAGGCGTTTGCCCACCCGCCGGAGGAGCTCAACAGCCCGGCTTCTCACCGGTGCTCGAAAAAGCCGAAGCTTCCGGCGGAGACCCTCGCCGAGTTTCTGAGCTCCCACCCGGAAAACGCGTCATCGATGACGTTTGCAGACGCGGCCGTGCTCGCGTATGTCCGGCCCGACGGCCGGTCTCTGCTCCACAAGAACCAGAGGTATATAGTGTTTTGGCTTGATAAAAATGTGATCTTTATGGGAAAAAAATGAAGAAAACATTCTGTCTTTTTCAGATCTGCCTTGCTTCTTTTACTTGGTTTGTATGGTTTGTGTGGATTTATGTGTAGATTGTGTAGATTTCTCTTTATGTTAGTAGATTATTTGATTTGAAATTATGGGATTTTATTCTATTTTATTTTATTTTTTAAGTTGAGAGTTGGTGATTAGGTGGTACTGACTGATGTGAAGCAAAAATAGAAAAAGAAAAAGAAAAGTAGGAATCCATTATCCATTTATGCATTTGAATAAAAGCAAAAGAAATAAAAGATTCAGTTTTTGAGTTTTATCAGTTTCAATCCCCAGAAATATGTTACCAAAGAACACTGAAAACAATTTTGCAGAATTAAAGCACACCCATGATGCGGTGGTTAGACCGTTAGGCTGATCGACCAAAATTAATATCTTTTTACAGGCAAAAGATAGCTTCAATCAACACATTCTTCACTATCTGGGCATTTGCCTAGTCTTCTTGTTAAAATGCTTTTTCAAAGTTTTGAACTTTTTGTATGCAGGTTGTTTTGTGGGTATGATGACATATACTGTCTTTTCATGGGGAGCTTGAACAATCTGTGTGCACAGATTAAGCAGTATGGGTTATCTAGAAATGCAAACGAGGCCATGCTGGTAATTGAGGCTTACCGGACCCTCAGGGACCGGGGCCCCTACCCGGTGGATCAAGTCATCAAGGAACTTGATGGCAGCTTTGCCTTTGTAGTTTACGACAGCAAAGTTGGCACGGTTTTTACTGCTCTGGTATGTGGTTAATAATCACCTAAATTACCCTTTCGAAATGTGTGGTAAATAGTTTGAAATTGCTAATGGACCGTGAACTTGCAAAATGGTACGCGGTTAATTTTTGATAGATGATTGATTGGAGAATGTGGGGGTATTCTTGATTACACTACAGTTAAGGGGTTGATCATGATTCGAGAAGTTGGCTTTCTCTTGCCTTTTGAAAATCCAAATTAAAATTCATGTCTGTTTACTGCTAAGTTCGACCCACATTGAGTATCTGTCGGATCACACACACTCGCACATCGAGAACATGATTAAGTAATAGTCACTAGTAAATTGAAAAAAATGAAAAGAATAAATGAAGAAATTTAGTTGTAAATAATGTTAATTCTTCTTACAGTTTTTTTTTTTTTTTTTTTTTTTCAAATTTTAATTTTAGGGTTCTGATGGTGGGGTGAAGTTGTACTGGGGTATTGCTGCTGATGGATCTGTGGTGATCTCTGATGATTTAGAAGTGATTAAAGAAGGTTGTGCCAAGTCTTTTGCCCCTTTCCCTGCAGGTAATATTAAAAACCAACATAAATTCTTGTGTGAGTATCTACACAAAAACATATAGTTATACAGTTATACTATCAAATGTCATGCTTTCTTTTAATCGAGTATAGTATGACTGCCTAACGATTAGACTTGCTTCATAAAAGGACTATCGTAAAATTAATCCATGCTAATAAAATAGAATTTGAAATTGTGAATTTAAATAGTGAAATGGGATTAAGGACTTACATGAATTTGTGTGGACAGGGTGCATTTTTCACAGTGAGTCTGGACTCATGAGCTTTGAGCACCCAATGAATAAGCTGAGGCCAATGCCAAGGGTGGATAGTGAAGGGGTTATGTGTGGGGCCAACTTTAAGGTTGACTTGTACTCGAGGGTCAACAGCATACCACGTGTCGGGAGTGAGGCCAACTGGGTCGACTGGAATTCGCACGAGCCATAATAAGCTCTAGATGTTGTGGACCATTTGACTTGTGGTCCATCAATGGAATAACCAAAATAAAGAAAAAAAAAAAAATCCTTTGACATTCTCACAGTTGTTTTCATTTTGTTGTTGTTTGCTGTTGTGTTTTTGTGTTGTTTGTGGCCAAAATCAAGGCACTTGTGTAAATGAGGGTAAGCCATAAAACAGAAGAGGACCTTTTGTGTACTCTTTGAATAATCTCAACCATGTTTTTGTTCTTTTAAACTGTATGTAAACTAAAATCAAATGAATTGAGTGGTTTTGAATTTTAATCATTGATTCAAACAGAAAATTAGAAGTGACTTTTTTTTTTTCCTCCCTTTTTCCTTCTCTAAAACAGCAGCTGACTACAATTTACTCAATCCAAAATATAACCTTGAAAAAAGAGGGCCAAATCTATTCAGACAAACCAACCAGTTTCTCACTAATCTCCCAAAGCTTTCGCGCCTTCTCGGCATCACTCGCCTCTTGAGACAACTGGTTCTCGAATGAGGCCGAGGCATTGTTCCAGCTCCAATACACTCCCGATTTCGTCAGGCTCGGATCACTCACAACCTGCGCAAGCCTCTTCCCGGCCTCATCCTCAGAGACGAACCCTTTTGTAATGTACTTCTGAAAAGGAGGGAAAAGCAGCCTGAAAAGGGGAATGTGATCTCTGAAAAGGCCCGTCGTGGCAATGCAGCCCGGGTAGAGGGAGGCGAATGTGATGCCCGTGTCCTCATGGTAACGACGGTGGAACTCTTGCATCGTCAGCATGTTGCAAACCTTGCTGTCCTTGTAGGCCTTTGCCCCGTCGAAATCCCCACCGTCGATCATAGACGAGGTGTTGGGCCCGTTGAGCCCGCCCTGGAGGCCCCTCAGGTCCCCTAGGTTGGCCTTTGGGGGCACGTTCCCGGCCAACGTGTTTGTGTTTCCTGCATATTAAGTCTCACTCTTTGATGAATCAAACGGAATACATCGTACTCGGGTTAAGAGTATGCGTTCTAAGGTGCAGTGCAGTCAATCAATTTACCTTGGTCAATATAAAATAAACTTATCATCTGTGTGGTGTCCAGTTCAATACATACAGAGTGGACTGGCTAGCTAGTATAATTTGACAAGGAATCCATAATATGTGTGTGCTTTAGACAGATATATATATATATATATTGATATGAATTAAGTCGTTCGAAAAGATTTCTATCAATCGAGCCCACGATACGTACCGGTGATCGAGCCCACGATTATAAGCCTCTTGGACGGGTAGTCGGACTCCTTCATATCGTCGAGCAACAACCTCGAGAGAAGGAAATGGCCCAAATGGTTGGTCCCGACGCTAAGCTCGAACCCATCCGCCGTGAAGGACGGTTCGCGGGCCGTCGGCTGGTAAACGGCCGCGTTGCAGACGAGGACGTCGACCGGCCGGCCCGACCTCTTGAAATTGTCGACAAACTGCCTCACGCTGTCGAGCGAGGCCAAATCCAAATGCATCACGGTGTAATTCTCCTTGTCCATGCCCACGGACTTGGCAGCCTTTTGGGCCTTGAGAAAGTCCCGGCAAGCCATGACGACGTGCCACTTGCCGCTCTCGGCTAGGGCCTTGGCCGTGGCCAGGCCCAAGCCCGATGAGGCGCCCGTGATTATTACGGTGCCCTTTCGTAAGGTTTTCTTGCCTTGGACGGTCGAGGGGGTGATCGTCGGTGACGTGGCAACGGCTCGAGTACGCACGGAAGGTAGCTTCCTCGTGCCGGATTTTCTCTACGTGCGTGATTTTTTTGTTAGGCAAGCAAATTGGCGAATGTTGATCATAGTTACTAGTTTGGTAAATCTTTTAGGATTATTTTATTTTGGTAAATAAACGAGAAGCTTTGTAGCCTAATTACAAGTACTTAAGATATGATTAAAAATATTCCTTCTTAAGTATCACCGACTCACATAAAGTCTATAGAGCCATTCACTCATCCACACCTTTATGTATCGACGTTAATATACCATTTGTGAAAACTATGGATAACTCCATAAAGCGAATCATTCGATGACTCTATAGCAAAACCGTACCAACTCAACCTTATATTTTTGGACAAGAAACATATAACACTTTGGAAGATAAACGAGTTACTTTTTAGTAATATTTGGGCTAAAACTTGAGCATATTTCATAATTAACTCTAAAAGTTACCTTGGTGAAATCAGCCTTGACATGGTCTGAGAGTGAAATTCCAAAGAGGCTCGACTCCTTCAGAGATGAACCACATTTTGCCTGCAGAGATTAAAAAAAAAAAAAAATACAAGAATTCAAAGGAAAGAAAAAAAAAATCAAATTTAATTCATTCAAGAAACAAAGAAATAAATAAAAGACTTTAAAAAATTCTTACCTCTTTGTGAAGAGAAAATTTAGAAGGGAGCAAAGCAGCAGCCTGTAGAGCCATTGAAAGGATTTTTCTAGCTTTTTTCAGGTGAAAAAAAATGGAAAAATAAAGATATTATTAGATTTTTTATTGATTTTGGTACTTTCTTTGTGATGGGTGTGTGCAAATTTATATAGTGTGTGAATAATTTGAAAAAAAAAATAATTAAATAATGAGTGAATTTATATAGTGTGTAGGATATGCAATGGTAGGATAAGATAATATTATGTGGAGGTATGTGCCACCTGGACTTGAAGCACCAATAAAATTTTGTGGTTCAGATTTCCTCTGATAGTTTGTAATAATAATATCAGCCAAATGAAATTTTGGGATTTCATAATTGGGATATATTTCACAGAGCTTGAATGTGTATCCCCACAGTTATGGGCTGTGGGCACAGGGGTATGGAGAGTTTACACTGAAAAAAAAATAAGATAATGGTTGGTGGGGTACAATAGTAAATACACTTTCATTATTCAGATTTTTCTAGACAAATCTCATCTCTCAAGTATTCATAATTTTTAAAACCATATAATATTTAAACAAAAGTATGTCAGTAGTAAGTTATGTTTGGTAAAATTAGCAGAAAAGTTAGCTGATAGTTTATAAGTGAATTTCGAGTTTATCATTGATAGCTTATGGCTGAAAAGTTAACTGATATGATAAAAAAGGTTAGTAAAATTAGCTGATAAATCTGAAGTAAAAATTTCAATGAAGTTATTTGAAAAGCTATCTAAAAAAGATTACGGCTATGTTTGAACAAATAAGCTAGCTTATAAATTATTTGGTTAGTTTATAAGTTTCATGTATTTAAATAAAATTCGTTTGGTAGGATTGACTTTTTTAAAAAACTCGAGTTTATCTTATGAGTTTTTTTGGGTAGCTTTTCAAATAAGCTAGTTGAAATTTTTATTTCAGTTAGTTTAATCAACTAATTTTACCAAATACTTTTATTATATAAGCTAACTATTTAACTATAAGTCATAATCTATAAGCTAAAAGCTCGAAAATTAGTAATAAACTATAAACAAGGTTATCAGCTAGTTTTATCAAATATAGTACGAGTAGAAGCTGGTTCTACCATACTAGTAAAAGTATTTATTTTTAGTAAAAAAATGGCATTACTAAAATTTGTAATTACTTCAAAAATAATGAAGTGCAAATTGGGAACAAAAAATCCAAGAAAATGAAAGCCTGCTTGCTATTGCTAGGTACAACCA